AACGGGAACGGGGACGGGAACGGGAACGGGAACAGGCATTGGCATCCACACCGGGGGGGAGGGAACGGGAACGGGGACGGGAACGGGAACGGGAACAGGCATTGGCATCCACACCGGGGGGGAGGGAACGGGAACGGGGACGGGAACGGGAACGGGAACAGGCATTGAACTCCACACCGGTGGGGAGGGAACGGGAACGGGAACGGGAATGGGAATGGGGATGGGGATGGGAATGGGCATCCACACGGGTGGGACTGGGAACTGGAACAGGAACGGGAAGAGAAAGAGGGTCAGGGACAGGGACAGTGGCACCCCGGGGGGCAGCGGCGGTGGCCCGGGGGTGGCACAGCGGGACAGTGGCACCCCGGGGGTGACAGCCCCGGTGTCCCCAGGCCCGGTGTGCGCGGGCGTGGTGGGGCTGAAGATGCCGCGGTACTGCCTGTTCGGGGACACCGTGAACACGGCCTCGCGCATGGAGTCCAACGGAGAGGGTGAGGGGGACACCGCGGGGACACCCTGGGGACACCGCGGGGACACTGAGGGGACAACATGGGGACACCGCGGGGACACTGAGGGGACAACATGGGGACAACATGGGGGACACCGTGGGGACACCCTGGGGACACTGCAGGGACACCGAGGGGACACCGCGGGGACACTGAGGGGACATCACGGAGACAACATGGGGGGCACCACGGGGACACTGAGGGGACACTGTGGGGACAACATGGGGACACCCTGGGGACACTGCAGGGCCGGGGACACTGCGGGGACACCCCGGGGACACTCTGGGGACACCCCGGGGACACCCCGGGGACACCCCGGGGCGCTGACAGTGCCACCCCCCAGCCCTGAAGATCCACATCTCGGGGGTCACCAAGGCCGTGCTGGAGGAATTCGGGGGCTTCGAGCTGGAGCTGCGGGGGGACGTGGAGATGAAGGTGAGGCCGAGCCCCCCAAAACTGCCCCGAGCCCCCCCAAACTGCCCCGAGCCCCCCCAAACTGCCCTGAGACTCCATGCTTCGACG